TGATCTTTACTGATTCATCATTACTATAATTTTGTATTACCGTTTTTTTATTGCCTACAAATGTTATAACAGGGCTCATCATTTACAATTTCTCTTGTTGAACTAAACATGACTTGAAAGATGGAAAAATGCACTGGCCGTATTGATATAATGAATATATAACCTCTCTGATCAGGATCCGATCCCTCGCCGCCATTACAAGACATGACATGACTTACTGATATTTAGTGTGTTTACCACACTTACTGAGTGCAAGCATACCTGCTACATACAGTGCCTGCAAATAAGATCCAGATGTAAAAGTGATCCAAATGCTACCAATCAAAAAAGTAATGCTAATAAAAAATTGAGTAGATGGTTAAATAATGTAGTATATCAGTAATTTTAAAGCCAGCTTCTCTCAGTTATTGGGGCATTGAGTGGACCAAGGACCAGCAGTTCAGTGGTTTGGATGAGCTTGGGAGCAGAACCTGTATCCATGTTTTCTAGCTTTTCTTTATCATATACCACAGATTTTCAGTAGGTTTTAACCCTTTGACTGTGGATAGCTTTAAATCATACTATGGCTGTGATGGAGTGAGTCAGGTATCATTTCATAATGGCATACCCTGCAGCACCTCAGAGGGAGCTTATCTCTCTCCAATAGTAATGACATCCTTTGACATCACTTTTAGATACCTTCAGTAATTTTAAATACTTATTTATAGAATGCAGCTACATAGGTGCCTAATGTGCTTGAAGTATTCAATGAGCTGGGTGCAACTGGAGAAATTTGAATACATTTTTCATTATTCCTGGTTGTTCTAGCTTTAACTTGTGGGCTGAAATCAATGGATTTGGCAGTATTGACCTCTTATGAAGTCATACATGCACTGAACAACAGAGGATGTTGTCTGACTCAAATGAACCCTCCTGACTACATGCCAGAATTATCATACCTATGTTTAATTGATCCCCAATGTTTTTCATGTTGACACAGTTGCCATGATGTATGTATGATGAAGTATGGATCACATTTGCATTCCAATCTTATTTGTAGGTACTGTACTCGCCTGTATATTCTATGAAAGTAGGGATTGATAAGGATTTTTTTGGCTTTTGTCATGTTTTGGTGAAAAGTCATAGATTTAACACCTTTATATTTTCTACTGGAATCCCTCTTACTTTGAACTGGAATGATATTGTTCATGGGCTTGATGAAATTGATCTTTCTAATAGGAGTTTTTGTAGACCAGGATTGTCTTTGGAATCTTGAGTTTACTGCAAAAAATTGTGTAATTCTGAATAGTAGACTAATTTAGTTTTGTAGGAAAAACTATGTTAATAAGTTAAACTACTTGTAAGACTCACCCAGATTGCATTTGGTAACAGGTCTCTGACAAGGAATTCAAGCCAACAGTTGCATGGCTTGATAACTTCATGCGACGGTTTTGCTTGTCAAGAAAAAAAATGGGATTCCATAGCTCAGCAATGTTGAAAAGGAAAGTAAGTATAAATGATGATGTAAAGTCATTATAGGATTCTTTAAAGTGATGAGATTACTTCATGGCTGAAAATTAATTATGTACTGTAGTAGATTTGATAAGTTAATAGATGTCTTTTTCTCTAAGGTTTATATAAGAAAAAAGCCTGTGCCTAATACTTGTCAGAGATGATAAAGGAATTGATGAATTTGATATAAAGGTAATAGTGTTTTAGTTCAAGTTCTCAAATCAACTTCAGGAAAAAAAGGCATTCAAATTTCTGATTTTAACAGGATAACGTCCAGCCACAGCCTCAGACTCCAGCCAGTGGAAGTGGCTTGACTCAAGAAGATGTTTTTAATGTTTTGGGGATAAACATGGATGGGAATGGACTCCCTGAAGAGGAAGGCAAAGTGGCAGCCAGTGAGAAGATCTTAGAAGATGTAATTGCTGAGACAGAGAATGGAGTCAATGGAAACCAAGGCATAGAAACTGATTGCCAGACAAGTCTTTTGGATTCAGTTGATAAAAATTGTTCCATAGAAGATCTCTTTGCATCAGATTCAGAAAATGTAGAGAGCAAAATCACATCACTAGACCAGAATGTTACTCCTGATCCAAAGAAAGAGCAAGTTGTATGTGAAGAAATAGAACAGCTTAATAAGTTGGAAAACCTTGCAAGTCAGATGGTGCAAAACCAAGATTCGGATGATGACATTATAATAGAAAAAAGTGTATTGAAAACAGATACACTTCCAAAAGAATCCAAGATGGATATAGACAAAGAAACCATAAAAAAGGAGCAGGATTCTTCAAATGATGAAGAAAACAATGACAAGGATTCTTCAAAAGGAAGTGATAGTGGTAAGATTTTAGTATATGTTAGAAAGACCATAAGATATTAGTACAATTTTCCTCTTTATTTAGACGTGCATTTTCATGGTTTTGGAATGAGCATCAGATTGTTGGCATTTGATTATAGATAAGAAATGCTTTCTTGTGTTATTAGTAAATTATATGATAAAATTAAAATATCTGCTTGGTTAGTGTATTGATAATGTGTTTGTGTTTTTCTTTTGTATCTTGCATTTTAGTATTTCAGCTATTTAAGAATTATTTGTTATAAATTTAGATATACTTCTAGGTCTTCCAATCATTTGACATATCCATTATTCACTTCCAGTACATAGCTTTTGCTTCTTTCCTTTTACTATATATCTGCACATGAACTATTTATTCATGTAGTCACTCAGGACATTCAGGTATTTCCAGAACCATATGACTACTTCTGAATTCTTTTGTCATACACAGCTCATTCAGAAATGTAATTATTATTTCTTACTGTTCCAAATTGTTTTCCTTCAAAAATACTACTACCTACTGGAAATACTGGAATACCTACTGGAAACAATCATGGATGATCACATCACTGGACATGGGCCTCTCCCACAATTCTTTCTTCTATCACTAATCCTGCTTGAACCCCATCTTACTAAAATAAAATTCCATACCCATGATGGTTACAATTTCACAAATTATGTTAATGGTAGGAGAATACCATCTTCAACCCAATAACACCGGGTAAAAAATTTGGCAAGCAGACAGGATCATGGGTTTATTAGCACACATTGACAGATGTAGCATGTGCGTTCATGCAACCTGGTAGGAATTGGTTAAGAGTGGCATATAGTATGACAGACTGGCAGTCAGTTCATTGATTGGATTGGTGTATTAGTAGTTAGAGACCAAATTACTGACATGTTCTTGTTCAGTTAAAACAGGCTTAGGAAATCAAAAAGCTACCTTGATTTGCCAAAATGTGAATGAGACTGGCACATCTTTGAATGCCAGCTTTTTCTTTCTTTCTTTTCTTTCTTTCTTATCTTCTTTTCTTTTTTTCTTCTTTTCTTTTATTTGTATCTTTATTTTTCTTATTATTCTTTTTTTTCTTTTTGTTTTTTTTCCTTTTTTAAGTTGTGCACATGTGATGTGCAGTCAAATACTATTTACTAAACCCCCCTTATTTCACTCATTCATGACAAGTGACAACCTATCATGATATGACAAAACCTTGACTCACATCTGTTAACATCTAAACATGTCATATACAGTTGAAGTTGTGCTAAATTACAAGCACTAAAGATTTGTTACTTATTTGGGCCTTGACATGAAGAGGAACAGTCCTGTTTTTAATCTCGTTTCTCCAAAAATGATTCATGTTACAGCCTAGACATTGGAAGGCAGGATAAATGTGGGAATCATAGCTAACTGCATATAATTCCTGGCACAGGGAAATCCCACAAGGGTCAAAAAGAATAACTTTGCATAATGGTAATGTAGTAAGAAAATCCCTGTCACACAATTAACTTTTAATTAAATGAAGTGGTGTTATACTGAATCAAATTTCTTCGTTTCCATTTTGCCTCTTAGATGTAAGTTTTGAATTCAAGTTTGGCATAGTATAGAAGTGGTAAATTGTCAAGTATTGAAACTTGGATCCTGTAATTTTGCAGTGTTTAAGATTATATCTGATTGTCGATAGGTATATGTGACACTATTATTCTTGTTTGTTCTTGTCTTATTTTTTCCCACTTTCAGTTTGCACAATTTACAGTGACTGTGACACATTTAAATGCATGATGGAAACCTCTCCTTTTGTGGTGGAATTTATAGGTAATTTTTTTTATAACATGTAATTTAAATATTTTCAAACAAAAGTGAAATTGGTAAAACTTTCATTCTCTGTAGGTTACTTCATGTACATTTGGCAGTGAATTCTGGTAAAAGATGTATTGTGCTCATTTATGTATTCTAGAAGTTGTGATTTTCATTGGATACGTTCTTGGAAACCAATACATCTTTCCCTGATTTTGCCAGATAAAGACAACATGAGAGAAAAGAAATCCACAAAAGGAAGAGGCAAGAGTAATGGTTCATCAGATGGAGACTCTCAGCAGGATGACCAGGCTGATGCTGGAGGGAAGAAGTCCAGGCAAGTGGAGGATGAGATGACAATCAAGTATACCAAAGAGGAGAATGAATATTACCGAAAGAACATTAATGGTAAGAAATCTGGATATTGCTCTTTTGTTCTTTGTATTTTTTTTTTACAGTGTCCTATGTGTATCTGAGAATGCAGTTCGTAAAGAACTGGAGATATCATTGTGATCATGTATTTATTTATTTGTTACAATATATATATGATTTTTTCTTCTTTTTCTTTTTTCATGTAGATCTTCAAAAGAAGCTTCATGATGCGGTGATGAGATGCACTGCCTGTAATGAACAAATCAATCATCAGATTCGATCTTTGGTCTACACCCACCCCGTGCTAGGAGTTCTTTCATGCAAGGTGATTTGTCAAAGCAGACTACACTCAATTTGATAAGTCTTGTATTACAAGTAGTAGTAGTAGTTTTTTTTAATACATATTTGAAGTATTTGGATGATTAGAAACACTATCCCTAATGTAGATAAATGTAGACTTCATGAAACAGATTTTTTGTGTGTGTGTCTGTATTTTCATACTTTATTTGCTAGATGTAAAAATGCAGTTGGTTTTCAATTTTATAATTTTGTGTGTGTTGATTTTGCAGAGATGTAGGAAATATTATGGGAAAGGTAGATTTTGTAAAGATGAAGAGGGCTATGATGAGTACTGCAGATTGTGCGCAGAAGGAGGCGACTTACTGTGCTGTGAGCAGGAGGGTTGTTTCAATGGATTTTGTAAGGTAAAGCTAGAAATTGTTATATAATGTTTATCTTTGAAGTCTTTTTGCTTGAGTCTGCATATTAAATATGTAGGAATATTGAACTGATAAATACTGCAAAAGAATATATGTATCAGAATTTCTGTTTCCTTTGTCTTTTTTCATATATTGTAAAATTTATCTCAAGAATAATTTATTTTGTACTGGAACTGTATTTAATTTTTTCTTTGAAGCGCTGTATAAAGCGAACCATGGGTCGTTCTGAGCTGAAGAATGCAGAAACAGCAGAGAACTGGGCATGCTATGTTTGTGACAAGACTTCTATGACAGAGCTCCGAGCACTACACAGAGCTATTCTGAGTAACTTAGAGGAATCAGAAGTGCAGGATGACAATCTGTCAAGGTAAGGGAATTCTGAATTTATGCATCCATGTTAAGTATCTTAACCCCTTGGATCTGGGTGCTTCAAGTCACACGAACCAGAATACGAACATTAGGCTTAGGTGAGCAGTTGTTCTACTGGGTGCAGGCAAACATTCATGTGCAGTGACAAGACTAAGCCTCCCCTTTGCAGTGTTATTTTCTCTTTTTATGCATAAGCATTTTATTCTTTTTTGCCATTTTCCAATTTCCATATTTGTCATTTGATTTGTTTTTATCTAGATAATAATAGATTGTGCTGCATATCATCCCTCTAGTTAGTACTTAACTTAGTGCAAGAAAAATGAAAGTATGTAATATTTTATTTATGTCATTTAAACTTTTTTTCATAATCAATTTTTTTGTAATACAACCAACACTGCCAGTTGCAGTGTTCAGGAATAGGATGCTTAGCCTGGAAATGGTTTCATTTCTGGAGCCAGCTCTCTTCTCTGCACTCACCCTGGCCTACAGCCAAAATGCTCACAATAGCCAGTTTGTGCCACAGCCAGAATTTCCCAAGATGGTATTTTCAGATCACTGCCCCTCAAGCCAATTTTTTTCATAACATGATGGACATGTCATCAGGATCAAAAGGGTTAAAAGGAACAACCAAGTAACTTTTAAGATTGTATGGTTTTATTGCATGAATAGTAATGGTGATATTGAAGATAAAACAACCCCTTTCCCCTTTTCCTCACACACATGCCACATGCATGAGATTATTGCAAAAATAGATTTTTAAATGCATTGTAAGATATTGTTGAAAGTCCCAAGCATCATCAAATAGAAGCACAGCTTTCACACAAATAAACATTGATGTCATATAAAGGGTTGTGTGCCATTGTTACCTGAGCACTGATTGTACCCACAAAATTTACCCCTTTTTCCACTGTATGCAACAAAACCATGTAAATTAAATGTCTTATTTAGGGGAAGCTGATCCTTTTTACTACCCAGAATATCTAAGAAAAAATAAATAAAATAAAGAATCTAAATGTGAGAGGACATCCTAAAGAAGATTTTGATATTCCTGAATTCTTTTCATAATGTCCTTGCATATGAGATTTTAAGAAAAAAAAATTGTAGGCTTGCACCTCAGAATGTGATTTTTGATAGTTATATAGTGCAGTTTTTCTTTGGACAGTTTTTGGTGAAGCAAAAACTAGTAGTAACATTATAGTTATTTTTTAAAGTTATGCTCATATAATGTATATTATAGTATAGATAATATATGTAATATATATATATATATATATATATATATATATATATATATATATATATATATATATATATATATATATATATATAATATATATACACATACATATACATATATACATATTTCCACGTAAGAATAGTAACTAAAGCAGGGAATGGCAATTGAATATTATAACCCCTACGATCTGGATGATGTGACCATCATAGCATGAAATTGAGTTATTGATCACCTACAGAAATGGTTTGTGGAAAGAAAACAGTATTACCATCTGGATACAGCATATCAGATGACAAACATAGACATTAGAAGATCTTAGAAAAGCTAAAAATGCTTATGCAGAAAAAGAGAAAATAACATTGCAAAGGGGAGGTATGGAATGTTATCACATCACACGAGTGTTTGTGTTTGCCTAACCTACAAGCCACACACCTGTCAGAGTGGCTGCTCAAGTAAGTTTAATGCTCGGATTTTGGGCCAAGTGCTGGCAGCAAAGTGCTTGGATCTAGGGGGTTAATCAGTATTATGATGTCATAATACTGGCTGAAATTTTAAGAGGAGGGGGAATGGGGGTTTTGAGGTCAAATGTAGATGTATATGATACCATAAATTTCACACTGATTTATCCAGATTTAATACACATATGGCATAAGATAATTGATATGCTAATTTTTTGGTATTTAATATTTTTATACTTGTATACTCCCATAGCAGTGCACTGTGAGTGTTGGTCTGTAGTTTGCTAGTAAATACATTGAATATGTATTCTCTCTTTCTTTTCCTTCTCTTCTTCATTTTTTCTCTCTGGTAATTCAGAGTAATTTTTAGATTTAATTTAAGATTTCCCTTATATTTTTTGTTTGTTTGTTTGACAGGAAGGAATTGAATAAAAAGAACTTACTTTCAAAATTTGAGCTTCTGAAAAAGAATAGGAAGGAAAGAGCAACAAAGAATTCTCCCAAGAAAGTCGAAAAGAAAGCAGATAAGGACAAATCTGGTGATAGCAGAGGAAAGCAAAACCAAGCTTGGCTAAACGAGAGCATTGAAACTATGGTTGATATGCTTTCGTTATGTTTAAAGAATGTTGAAAAAATAAACAGCTCTTGGAAGAACTCCCATTATTCAGCAGAGGGAACTGAAAAGGCAGGTAAAAGAATTTTGAAGCAACTCACAGGGATGATGACCAATTTTGAAATCCTTGAAAAAAATGTTTCAGTTGAAGTAAAAAAACTGGCTTCAGAAGAAAAGGTGGAAGAGATTGATTCCACTGAGAACAAAAGCAAAAAGAGCAAAAAGGAAGCTGAGGAAAGTACCACAGCATCTTCACCCAAAAAGAAAAGCAGCTTGAGAGAAATGGACATGGAAACTGAGGAACAAGTTACACCCAAAAGAAAGAGGAATAAGTCAAAGATTGATGAAGATGCAGAGGAAGGAAATAGGACCAGCTGTAAAAAGACTGCAAGTCAAGATTCTTTGAAAACATCAAGCAAAGATGAAATGGAAGTAGATGACGCAAGCAAAGATTCAAGCAAGGCCAATATCAGATCAGAGGATGAATGTTCAGCCAATATAGATGACCCTGTGGAACAGGATGAAGTGAGGAGTAATGGGAGTGATACTGCAATAGAAGAAAGTAGAGGCAAAGGTGACTCTGAACCTGACGATGAGGCCGAGATAGAAAAGGCATTAGCCAAGACAAAATCATTGTCTGAGGGTGAAGCTGAAGAGGCAGATAAAGATTCAAGTATCCTTTCCTCTACCACAGTTGAATATGTTGGAAAAGAAAGTACAGAAAAATGCAAAAAAAAATCAAGGGCAAGTTTGTCAAAGAAGAAGGATGGTGAAGAAAGTGCTGATACATCAGAAGAACAAAAAAACCCTCTTTCAAATGCAAGGAAGACCAGGAGAAGCAAAAGTACAGAGGAACTGAGTGAGGTGAACATAAAGAAGGAACCTGACTCAGACAGTGAAAAAGAAGTGAAAAGTAAAAGAGGAAGGAAGGCCAAAGATCAGAAAAAGGAAGAGAGAGATGAGGCAGATGAGAAAGGCTCGTTCAAAAAGGATGAATCTGAAGAAGAAAAAAAAGTGATTAAGAAAGAGAAGGGAGATGAGATAGTGAGGATTATGATGATGAGGCAGATAACAAAGAAAATAAATCAAAGGGAAGAAAAAAGGTTCAGAAGGAGGAGAAGCAGAGAAAAGAAAGTGATTAGTGATGAGGAAGAGGAAAATGACTCTGAGAAAATACCAAAAGGCAAGAAACAGAAAAGAGGAAGAAAACCCAAAGAGGAGGAGAGTGATGAGGAGACTAAAAAGAAGAGTAAAGCAAAGGGAAGAGGAAACAGAGAGTCAGAAGATGGAGATTCAAAGGAAAAGAAGAAAACTCCGAGAAGAAGAACAAAGAAGAGACGGCAGGAAGACAACGATGAGGATGACATGTTGGGTATTGGAGATATGTCATCCAATAATGAGTCATCAGAAGAGGAAGATACAGATACAGAGATGAGGAGGCGGAGAGAAGAGATGATATAGTGTGAAGAAAAAGAAGAAAAAGATGATGAAGAAGGATACTAAGAAGGAGAAGGGATCTGAAGATATAACAGACAGTAATGATGAGAAGAAAACCAGAAAAAGTCCAGTGAAAAGTAAGGGAAAGAAGAAACAGGAAGAGGTGAATGGGAAAGAAAGTTCAGATGAAGAGGAAGCAAATGATAAAGAAGCAGGTGAGAGTAAGAAAGGTAGAATTAGTCCTAAGAAGTCTGATGAACAAGAAAAGAAGAAGAAGAAAAAGGAGAACAATGAGGCTTTCTCAGAGTTGTTAGCAAGTGAATCTGAAAATGAGAAAGGCAACTTAAGTGATGAGAAGGAAACCGGAGCAAATGATGAACCCATGGAATGCAGTCAAGGAGAAAGTTCAGAAGAGGGTACCTCGGAAAAGAGGAAACGGCAAGCAGGTAAGAGCAAGGGTGAAGCTGGTGGCGAGATTATGAGCACCAGTAAAGAAGAAAAACAGAAAAATAAAAAAAAAGGCAGTACACCTATTAAGGATGACAACCAAATGGCCATGGCTTCTCTCCTGGAAAGTGAGAGTGATTATGAACTAGAGGACAAACCCAAGCCTAAGTGTAAGAAAAAGAATTTCCTCAAGAAATATGCAGAGAAAATGGAAAAAGTGAAGCACTTAACAGAAGAAGAGAAAGAAGAACTAAAGGAGAAGCAGCTTGAAAGCAAGTGCCAGACCAAAGTGCAGAAAATCAGCACAGAAGTCAAGAGCAAATTGGAGAAAGATGAATTCATTGACGTTAAAGAATTCCCAGAGTTCAGGCGGAAGAAGGAGACAGAGCGCCAGAAACAAGCAAAGCATTATGATGGTGAAGCTGATGAAGAAGATTCAGATGAGGAATTTGAAAAGCTCATGAAGTAAGTAGGAACTGTTTTGTATTTTGGTGGTTTTGTGCTCCTGCATTCATATAAGTCAGGTGATCATTTTATCATTTGTATCTCTAGTGATATTTTATTCCATTTTTTTGTTTACTTTTATTTTTCCTGTATTTTTTTTTTTTTTTTTTTTTTTTTTTATTCATTGTTTATTTATGATTTTATAAATGAAATTATTTTAGGTATCCTAGATATAATTTTTTATATTAGAGACTTTTTTTTTTTTTCATTTCTTTACAATGAGACAGTTGACTTCTGAAAAGACAAAGAATATGAAAGTTTAAAACTAGTACCAGAAGACATAGTAGGAAGTTTTTGACACTGATTCAGCAGATTTGTACATTCCATTAGGAGGCACTTTTTATGGAAGAAGTGGAGTAGCTTGATGAGTATGGACCTTTTTATTTTTTTACTTTTTATTTATTATTCCCCCCCCCCCTCATTTTTTCTTTGTTGGCATCTCTTTCTCTATCCTCTCTTACTTTCCCTCATTCTGTACCTGAGTGTGTGTGTTTTGTGTGTGTGTGTGTGTGTGTGTGTGTGTGTGTGTGTGTGTGTGTGAGTGTGTGTGTGTGTGTGTACAAAAGGTTATGAACCTCCCATATGGAATACTGGTGGGCAGAAGTGGTACTCTCAATATGGCTGTACTTTATTTCAAAGAGTTAACACAAGAGTTTAAATAGAACATGATACGACTGGTCAGTGCCTGATGGTACATGAGGGGCAGGCTGTCTGTCTTGTTGGGAAGTGAGAGAGGGGTCAGCTTGGGTCATCCTTATATCTGACCAGCTGGCGCAACTGGGCCGCATGCTGAAGGCATGGCCCACTTGCCATGCAGTATTCACGTTGTATACTATATTAAGGCATGCTATATGGTATGGTATATTGCTCACCGACCTACTCACACCTGGCCCTTGAAGCGTCATTTAATTTGTCTCGAGAATGACCCATCATCGGATCTAATCTGCTGGTCATCTTGTCTTTGTGCTCTTGTTCTTGGTCTTCCTTGTGTTGCTTCTCCTTGGCGGCTTCTTCTTGGTCCTCGTTGAATTTCTCCACCCTAGATCTCCACATGTCCTCGAAAGTCACTCCCAGGTCCTCTTCAACTTCGGAGCATCCAGACTTCCTTGTAATCCTCTTCTAGGTCTTACTCAGCGGCGTATTTGTCCACACATCTTCGCAGATCTCGTCCAGGTCCTTCTCGGCCTCATGCTCATACAGACGTCCTCGTAACCTGTGTTTGGCTGGGGCAAGGGGTCCTTTCTGGCATCTGAGGGTGGCTTATTCCTGCACTGATGAGCTCCTTGAAGTTTGACCGGATCTACGGGTGTCCAGGCAAGCGGTGCTCTTCCACTTCATCCTGAGTGGCTAAATACCTGCACTAACCACTCCTGGTCCTCAGGCCTGCAGCAATCTTCTGGCGACGTTCATCCCTCAGTATTCTAAGGCGACAACTGTAGTTAGGTTTTTTTCGGTGCCGTGTCAGATTTCCATGGTCCATCTAATGCATTATGAACCAGATCATACATGTAAGGGCCAAGATAGTAAGAGAAAAAGAAAGACCAACAGAGAGGGAGGGATTTTGTACAAGTGGTACTAGGCAATTTTCTTTTATATTATTTGCAGTTTTAATATTTATTTCATTTATTTTCTTTTTTTTTCACATTTGTATTTTTCAAGAAGAAAATCAAGATGTGGAGACATAAGTAGAAGTCCACAAAGACCTACTTGAGCTGCTAATCATCTCAGATATGAGAATACATAAGGAAAACGACAATGGCAATTCGTAAGGATATACTTGAACCAATTGTCATATCATAGAGAAAGAAAAAAATATGTAGTTTAATATTGTGCATCATTGTCACTCATCACGACTGGTGACATTGCAGCAAAAGAGATAACCTACAACTATGACACAACAAATCCTATCAATAAAGATTTGTATTTACAGTGTCTGTCACTCTGCGTGGATGAGTGACTGTGTGTGCATGTGTAGTGTGAGTGTGAATAGCGTGAAGAGAGAGCAGGCTCACATAAATAATGAATCACTTGCACGAATATTAATGTTCATTTTAACAAAAGTTATAACCATTGATATGTTAATAATACAATATTTCAACTACCACATTGAACTCAACAATAAGTGATGGGTGATGGAATGTCCACAATTATGAATGGTAACATGAAAATTCTTTGCAAGCTTCCGCAATGCAAAGTTCCCAGTTCAGAAATATTTTTATGCTATCCTCGATTGTAATTTCGGATTTGCTACAAAATCTGATAGACGGAGGTAATTATTTCTCACTTATCCATGTACAGAGTACATTAGACTTCATCAACGGGAGGGTTTCCCTTTTTACCCAAATTACCAAATGAAATGAAGTGAACTGAACAAGACTCAAATTTCTATCGTTATGGTCTCTACTCTAGACTCAGTGATGGGCGCTTGTGGCTATTTAGCTCACAAATGACATGACTGTCAGTATTTCCTGAACATACAAGCGGTAAAGTAAGGTGAGAAGGGTGTGATTACTAAGCAAATTGTTATTCTAGCTCAAAACACTAGTCCTACATTTCTAATCAGACATTATTACAGGCTCTTACTTACTCGAATTGTCAATCGAATGAGTTGTACTTTGGTTTCACAATATCTACTCTCAGACATCTGTGCGCAAATCTATTAGACATTACGAAACCCTGTGCATTCTGGGCATTATGAAAGGGGAAGATTTAAATGCTGTATTCATATAATGAATGTACACATATTGCGGTCAAAAGTAAATTCTTGCACCGAGAGAATGTTGCCAATTAGCAATGACGGCTTAGAAAACAGAAGTTTTCCTCCCAGTCCATGGCCGGATGAAAATGAAAGTGAGGTCTGCTAGGGGGGAGGGGGTGTAAATGAATAATATGTCGTTCGTGAATGCGAATAACGAAATCACTAAGAGAATAAAATAAACCAAAAGAGTGTAAAACGAGTGAAATTCAACAATGAATTAACAAAATTCGTTCAAGAAGCGAATGGAGTACATACAAATCGTGAAGTAATTTTGAATTACAAGAAGAAAATTTTTAGTTTGAGAGAAATCACAAACACATTGAATTCGTTGTAGTTGAAATAAAAGTAAATCCCTTAAAACAAGAGAATGAATTGATTAATGAACAATATATATACTTGTGACCGGAGATTGTGTCATTGTGTCTAGAGACCATGACCTCAGGTCAAAATAAGTGACGGAGTGTATGTGTGTTGCCATATTCCTGCTACCGTAAAGATGTTAAATTTCCACTGTTAGCACTTTTAATCAGCAAAACCAACGCAAGAGTGACTGCACATTTGCACGGCCTAACACATATATGGGAGAAGAAAGGAAAAGAGGAAAGATTGGCCCACAACATGTCCTTTCGTGGTTTCGAAGAAATCATGATGGTTTTTGGTTGTTTCTTTCTTTCTTTCTTTCTTTCTTTTTTTTTCTAGATGTTCTACTGTTCATACACTTAACAACCACTGCACCACCAGATAGGAAAGCTTATAAACCTCCTGTATGGAATACTGGTGGGCAGAAGTGATACTCAATATGACTGTACCCTTTATTTCTAAGAGTTAACACACACGAGTATAAATAGAACACGATACAACTGGTCAGGGCCTGGTGGAAACCCTCGTTCGCAAGCCCTGGCGAGGCCAGCCATTGCACGGGGGTAGCAAAGTCCTTGTGGCAGGCTGTCTGTCTCAGAAGGAAGTGAGAGAGACCAGCTTTGGTCTTCCTTATATCTGACCTGCGGGTGCAAGGAAGCCGTGTGCCAAAGGCATGGCCCACTCTCCACACAGTATTCAATTGCTATATTTAGGCACCACGTGGCATGCTGTAGTATGGGTGTGAGTGAGAGAGAGTGAGTGAGTGAGTGAGTGAGTTGAGGGGATGGGGGGCACATGTGCCTCTCTTCAGGAATACATGTATCAATCATGCTTGATTCTTTGTACCGAAGTGAGTACTTGAATGGGTGATTGACATTTCTCCCCACCTCCAGTGCTTATATTTTTATTCAAATTGTCCAAAAAATTATTATTTGAATTTATTGAATTTTGCTTAATTTTGTTACACCCCCAGAATTGTATCACCCTTTCACAGATTTAACAACTTAATTTCATCATGGCAGTTAATGATAATACTGATGTTGATATTAAAAAAAAATTGAATACATACTAATGATAGAGATGATGACCAGTAGAGCTCTTACTAACAATATCTGCCACCGTAGAAATCTAGTTAAGGTTTTTAGATATAGTGTTAGTGTGTATTTTTCTCTCTCTCACTTTCTAGCTCTCCCACCCTCCTCCCTCCTCCCCTCACTCCCTCCCTCCCTCCCTCCCTCCCCCACCCTCCCTCTCTCCTCCCTCCCCCTCACTCCCCTCACTCCCTCCCTCTCCTCCTTCCCCCTCACTCCCTCCCTCTCCTCCCTCCCCTCACTCCTCCTCTCTCCTCCCTCCCCTTCACTCCTCCCTCCTCCCTCCCTCTCTCCTCCTCCCTCCTCCTCCCTCACTCCCTCCCTCTCTCCCTCTCTCCTCCTCCCCCTCTCTCCCTCCCTCTCCCTCCCTCTCTCTCCTCTCTCCCTCTTTCTCTCTCCTCTCCCTCTCTCTCTCCCTCTCCCCTCTCTCCCTCTCTCTCTCTCTCTCTCTCTCTCTCTCTCTCTCTCTCTCTCTCTCTCTCTCTCTCTCTCTCTCCTCTCTCTCTCTCTCTCTCTC